TTTGTCCAGGGCGTTTTCCCTTAGTTTGGACCTTGAGTCTGTGGAACCTACTGTATCCTTTTGCTTACTTTTTTTATATCTGTGTCTGATGTTTTTGTAAGTGGCAATAAAATTGAATAAAGAAAAAAAAAAAATAATACATTCAAATAATACAAAAAAATATGATTATACATATCAACCGCTTCCAATTAAAACAACTTAGTTGGGATTACACGCATCACTTACAGTAATCCAGGACTTGGATTAGCATCTAAGCCCTTTGTATCTTGATCCTACACAACTTAGCAAGTTGTGGAGATATTATCTTTCCTCTAGTAGTAGGTGGAGTAAGATGTGTTCATTAACATGTTATGAGCACCAACTGACCACTGAGAACACATGACATTAAACATACAGTAAATCCAGAGCATATTAATACTGTACCTTCTTCATCATATAGGTACAAAAAAACTTATTCTTCTTTGTCTATCTGAGCCATCCGATAACTTTTATGTGAAATACAAGGATAGTAATAATATGAAGAATTCGTCTAGGAATCATGTGCATTACAATGGCATGTTGCTAAACCTCGAGAGAATGATGCCCCTGTAACGTCATTACAAATCACAAGAGCGTCATAATTTTAAAAATGTGATATTATGTAACTGAGTATGCTAAATCAGTTCTCAAATTATATAAAATTTAAACAATTACATTAACAACTACAAATAATATAGAAACAAATGTATAAATTGAATATTCATTCATTTAGCATATGGTATCTTTTAAATTTAATTCTAAAATATTGGTTACTCTGTACTTTGTCTTTGTCTTGGTACATGGTCACAAGTCCCACTAGGGGACCATTACTGCCAGGAGATTGCAACTTGCAAGACTGAACGTGGACGGGAGGATACTTAAACATTTTTTATGTGTTTAAGCATATATCACAATAGTAAATAATATTTCCATTCAAAATGTTGGTTTTTTTCAATAAATATTTAGTATGTTATTGATTAATCATTGTTATTATATGAAATTCAATTATGTTTCTCACATTTGTAACATCCTCATTTCATTTCACCAAAAAAACAAAAAAAAATTGAAAATATATTTAAATTAAATTCATTAAGCATTACAGTTTATTTTTTTAATTTAATTCCTAAAACATTAGGTACAATAGCATTTTGAATATATTCAATTAATTACTGTACGGTATATCATTTGTTAATCACTTTAATTTCAAATATAAATCTCAATTGTATTTTTTTAAACTTCCTCTTTTTTATGTCAATGTCAAATGATTTAATAAATTAAAATTGAATTGAATTACAGTAATTACTTAATGTCAAGAAATGGTTAAAATTTAAATTTCTTAGATATATTGACTTGAGTATTACTATTAATTAGGACCTAGCTAGCTAGGCCCTGTAGGTCCACTGTACTATCATACAAATAAGATATTTTCTACACAATTCGCACGCCATTCTTATAAAACCACACGTTGAAGATATTATGTGAATAAGAACAAGTTAAGATCTTAATTAAACAACATTGGAACAGAACTAAAAGTTCTTATTCGTACAGTACAGCTACGGTGCAAATACCCTCTTCCAATTTATGCTAAATTAGTAAAATTAGGTAGTACTGTAGGACCTAGGCCTACTTTGTATAAAGTACCTACACAGTCACAGTTCTAAAGCATTTGTGTTAGGAAGTTTTCTAGCAAAATGATGGACTAGAGATTCCCCAAGTGTGTCCCTTCTCCTTTCCTGGCATGTGATCTACTCCAGTGCTCTTCTTCTAGGCTTGGCCTAGTCTTCGTTTTGGTTCCAGCAGTAGAAGAAGAATAGAAAAGAGGGCCTAGGCCTAAGCTAGTATATAAATTCTGTCATTAGAATAAAGTAGACCTAAAACTAATTTTGCCTGTACAGCTTTAGAACAGGGATACTTTACTTACTCGATATAGCAAGCACATGAAGTGTAATTCAGCTTGGATAAACGAAATAGCATGAAATAGTTCCACAACAAATCTGCCACTTTTGAAACCGACCTGGTCGACTCGATCCCAGGCTTTGCTTTGCAATTGTTCACGTCTGTTGACGCGAATAACCATAAATTGACGCGATTTTTTTTTTTTTTTTTTTCAAAGCGTGGTACTTTACTTTAGCGAAGGCCAGGCCTAGGCTGGACTAGGGTATAGAAGATGTCGTTCTTTAAACGACTTATAAATCCTAACATGGTTTTCCCCTTATCGTTTGTAGGTACAGTCGTCGGCGGTTCACTTATTGCAAAGTAAGTGCTATACGGGTTTTCATATAAGCCCGAGGCTAGCTAGGCCTAAGTACAGTCAGGGCCTAGGCTAGCCTAGCGACTGGCTGGGAACCGGAGACTTGCAAACAAAACGAAGGAAGTGATCATTATCAAAAAACATTGCTAGAATGTTATGGGTAAATGCGCGGTCTGTGTGTTTACTGTTCAGTGGAGGTGGAGGAGATGGCGCTGCATGCTTAACACACCAAGACATGGTCATTGTTCAACTTTCAAATCCAAAACAATTTTGTGTAATTAATAAATAATTAAATATTAATATTATTTATTTACACCATGGCATATAAATGTAATTTAGGTAATTATTATAACACTTAATTAAACCATGCAAATGTATTTGACTGCCATATTCACAGTGAGTGGATTATCTAAATAGGAACTAATCAAATCTTGAACTCAAGTTTAAAAGTTTAAAAAGCAGTTAGAAAAGAGTCATTTCTCCATATTTTCCTAGCCAGTTCCACTTACTTAGACTCCGACTTATAACCTTCCCAAGATTTCATCAGCTCCGCACTGCATATGTGGCTTGAAGAATTCAACTTTAACTACTAACTTTAAAATCAACGGTATTTGCAATATTATTTTCTTCTTCATTAAGAAAATAGAATCATATTCAATTAAAACTTTTTTCTATCCCTCAAGAGATTACTTTGGTGGCAGGGAATGTCGATGCAAAAATACTATAGAAGGGAAAACAGTGATCATAACTGGAGCAAACTGTGGGATTGGGAAGGAGACTGCTTTAGACCTTGCAAAGAGAGGTAACAACTAGAACACAAGTTGCGGCTTTACCTGATATTTACCTACATTTTTTTTTTATTTTTTTAATTACAGTACACCAGAGCTGGGTTTCAAAATAGTGGCACGTGACAGTACCCCTCATAACTTTCTAAAATCCACTGGTTAGAATAATATGTAGATTATTTTTAAAATACTGGTGTGAAATGTTAATACATGTAGACTGACTATTCTTTTGTCAGAGAAAAGAGAACAGAACTATGCTGCTCATATTCAACCTTGAATCTGACTTGAAGCAGAAAATTCCTTTTGTACTCTACCTATTTTTAATAATGTTGTTTTTTTTCTCTTTACTGTCCTATGAAGGAGGTAGGATTATTCTAGCCTGCAGAGATGAAGCGAAGGCCCAGAAGGCTTGCAGGGAAATCATAGCTGAAAGTGACAACCAGAATGTGTCTGTTAAGTTACTTGATCTGGCTTCATTAAAATCAATCAGAAAATTTGCTCAAGAAATAAATGAAGGTATGTTTATATTTTTCTCCTCCCTCATCCCCTCCAGACTTCATGCTAAGCACTTGATAGCAATGTGTCAGTATTAAGAGTAAGAATATTTAATTGATAGATAGATAAATGCATAGGTACGTAGAGAGATTCATTATTTCATTGATTGGTATTATCAAAGAGTATAAATAGAACAAGAGAGCCAACAACGCTCATTGGGAGCGTAAAAAAACGATACGCTCTACGCAGCTAGTGTAGGACGCCAACTAACGCTTGTATATGTTTTATTACCCAGTACTGCACCTGTCTCTTATACACATCTAGATGTGTATAAGAGACAGTATGTATAGTTCTTGTTTTATTTTCAGAGATTGTAAGATAACAGAATGTGACCTGTCTCTTATACACATCTTGTGTCTGTTAAGTTACTTGATCTGGCTTCATTAAAATCAATCAGAAAATTTACTCAAGAAATAAATGAAGGTATGTTTATATTTTTCTCCTCCCTAATCCCCTCCAGACTTCATGCTAAGCACTTAATAGCAATGTGTGAGTATTAAGAGTAAGAGTATTAACATTTAATTGATAGATAGATAAATGCATAGGTACGTAGAGAGATTCATTATTTCATTGATTGGTATTATGTATCATTCTGTTTTTTTCAGAAGAAAAGCAGGTCCAGATTTTAATTAACAATGCTGGTGTTATGAGATGTCCCTACAAAAAAACTGAAGATGGTTATGAATATCAATTTGCTGTCAATCACTTGGGTAATTCTCAATCATAATCACTAATAAGGATAATGGTCATGATAATGTATAGGTTTTAGGATGAGATTTTTTTTAACTCAACATAGACAGTAATACCTTTAAAGACGGGCACTCACTATGTTGTATGACGACCCAAATGCCGCTTCCTGTGAGCGCTGGATGACGCGATGCTGTATGTTGATTGTTTGTGGCAGTCTGAACGGACCGTCATTAAAAACGATTTGTTGCGCGCTCGTTGTGACATTGCGTTCTCTAATGAATCATTTCGGCCAATCGTCAGGCGCAGTGAGTGACCGTTTTAAAATATATTTGATGAAGCCAGCTGGCTGGCTGGCTGAGCAGGGCTTGGCTGGGTCTGGGCTGGGCTTGGTCTGGTCGGGCACGTCTAGGCTAGGCTTGGCTTAGGCTAGGCTAGGCCGAGGCGATTGTCTTGAGGGGCCCAAGGGTTGAGGGTTCATCCATCTCTAATCAACATTTGTTTAATGTTTTAAACTTCAGGTCATTTCTTACTAACCAATCTTCTGTTGGATAAATTAAAGCAATCAAAGCCTGGTAGAATAATCACTGTTTCGTCCATTGCACATGAGCGAGGTGAAATTGAATTTGACGATCTTAACAGCGAAAAGAATTACGACAAAGCGTATGCGTATTCAGACAGTAAGCTGGCTAATGTCCTGTTTACACATGAGCTAAGCAGACGATTACAAGGTATATTGCAATCAAGTTTTATTTGAAGTTAATGACTTATTTGACCTTCAATTTGTTAATTCTAGTTTGCAGTTTTTTGGGGGTTTTTTTCAGATTTCATTTCAGAGTTATTGAATATTTTCTTAAGCTACTCCTGACCTTTGTTTTCTTATTTGATTTTGTATTCATACTTTTTTTTATGTCGAATAAATGAATTGAAATAAGATACCAGATGTATATTTTGATTATAAATGTATCGCTGCAGGTACAGGTGTAACAGCAAATTGTCTTCATCCTGGTATTGTCAAGACGCAGATTGGACGTCACACAGCGATGCAGAACTCTCAATTCTCCATGTCAATACTTGGGCCTATCTTCTGGATGTTTGTGAAGACTCCGGTGCAGGGAGCACAAACAACTATTGAATGTGCTGTAAATGAGAAACTAGAAACGGTTTCTGGGAAATATTTCAAGTAAGATTCGTTTCACTATTCAACAATTGTTTTTTAGTGTGTTTTGAGGGGTGGGGTACAGCGATGCAGAACTCTCAATTCTCCATGTCAATACTTGGGCCTATCTTCTGGATGTTTTTGAAGACTCCGGTGCAGGGAGCACAAACAACTATTGAATGTGCTGTAAATGAGAAACTAGAAACGGTTTCTGGGAAATATTTCAATTAAGATTTGTTTCACTATTCAACAATTGCTTTTTAGTGTGTTTGGAGGGGTGGGGTGGGGATGTGCAGGGATTGCTTGCTGTGTACTGTACTAAAATACTCAACTTTGATATTCTGAAATATATGTATAGTTCTTGTTTTATTTTCAGAGATTGTAAGATAACAGAATGTGACCCTAAAGGACGTGATGACGAAGTTGCTATAAGATTATGGAATGTCAGTGAGCAAATGGTTGGACTCGTTTCCGATGTTAATCTAAATAACAAAGAAACAACATCATCATGACAGTTATAGTCTTTAATTTGAAATATAATTTGAGATTCTCTTAATGAGCTGCCTTAAGACATCATCTGATGACTTAATCTTGAGCTTTCTTGTAGTGAATTCTTACATACCGCTCCGCAGAAATACTTTATATCAATTCAAAATTATTATTTGGTTGATAAATTTGACATCATATACATCCTTTATACACCTACTGTACTTTATTTAATAAAAAGTAGAAAACAAGACAAAAATCGGTGGTTACTTTTAGTCATTGTGTTGAGGTGGCCTTCAAAACTAGACAATCAGGAATCCATACTAGATCAATTGATTGGGTGTAGGTTTTTAGTTTATGTTTCCTTACTAGTTCATGTTTCCTTACTAAATCAAGTGATCGGGTCTAGGCTTTTAGTTTTATTACTGTATTAAGTATGATGATACAGGTGTATTAAATAATTTAAATATACCTAAGCTTTAGTCCAGCTGTCTTTATTTGCTAGTTGAAGGGATCGGGTGTGACGGTTGTGATTGACAATTTCCCATCGCTTCATCCATGGACCAGCGATAGTGCTATCAAACTCATCAGTTTCCTCCTGTTTGAATGAATATTGAACATACAAATGTTTTATTGACCTGATCAAATATTAATATAAACTTTATTGTGTACGGTAAATTTTGCTGTAATTCATGTACACTTCACTTTAATTACATTATTCTTCTACTATATCTGTTCATTGAACCACATTGTTGTTTCATGTATGATAATAAACCTTTTTGGCTTAGCGCCCTCTATATCGTCACCACCAAAATGTTCAGAGGAGGGGTTATTGTAAATGTTTTCCAGGTGGAGTGCGACGAACGGATGAACTTTTTTTTGACTCTCACTATTATGTACAGGTGTTCAGCAGAAATACAGTACTTTGTAATATCTTTTATTTAATATTAAATATTGGAAGGGGAGGAGAATAACAATATTATATAACAGTTTCATCAGGATACGCATTGTCTTAAACGAGTCAACCACATAAATATTAATGCATCTTTGATAATTAAAAATCATAATCTTCTTTTGTATTATGGTACCTGTTGTCCTTAATTAAAATTAATCTTACGTCTTACGATTTTGTTTTAGGTAATTTGGAGCTTTTTTAAAATTTTGCAGTTATGTTCAAGTACCAAGGTGAAATTACGTAATTCATTAAGCTCAAACTCAGTGCATCCATGACGTGCTGGGCATGTTATTGTTGTTGCTGCTGCTTTTGTTGTTACCTGTTTGATCGAATAGTAATAAAATGAGAACATACCAGTTAAAATAGTCAAATAAACTAGTACATACCAACCTTGATGCCAAGGTACTGTTGCATGTTCATTTTTGGTATCTAGAATTATCATTATCCTATCATTATCATCATCAACACCATCATTATTACGAACATCATGTTATTTTTAGTTGTCATTTTAAGTGTCTGTGGTATGTAGGCTGTAACAGGCAAACAAAATACAATAAGAAAACATTGGTAAAGTAATGGAAAATGCAGGCAAGACAAAACAGTTGGTAAAGATGCTGACTCTATTAACGCTATTTACAAACGTGATTAATGCTCCCTCGCACCCACTGATTAAGTCCATTAAAATGCAATACAGATAAATAATAGACAGAATTTTACGTATGCCACTGGTTGTGTGTGATAACAATGAAGAAAATGAATTACAAACTCTTAAGTGTGCAGTACGCCAACCATCTTTGGCTAGAAAAAAACTTGTTTTTTGCCTCCCGGCACCGATTATCTGTAAAAAAAGTAATACTGAAACTGAGCATAAAGTGGCCATAAAACAGTGTATGAAGGTTTTTTCAAACCATTGAACTACACATTTTCAAGCATTTATAATTTACAAGTGATTAACTTTCATTAAAAACACAAGTTAGTTTTTATACTTTTTGCTACGATAATTTAAATGGTTTGAAAGACAACGGCTGAAGTTACAACATGACCAATAATTAAAAATTTAATAACGGTTTAACTATTTAATGTTTTATTATTTGAATTATTATTATTAGTTCAGCACCACAAACAGTATGTATAAGTTCTACTGTTTTCTCTACTCTCTCCGTTCCACGCGCCTCAGGATATTGGTTAAGTAACAATTATTGTTGTGTCTTCTTAATAATGTGCAACATCATCACAACATAATAATAATAATAATAATAATAATAATAATAATGACAATAATAATAATAACAATAACAACAACAACAACAACAATAATAATAATAATAATAATAATAATAATAATAATAATAATAATAATAATAATAATAATAATAATAATAATAATAACATACAATCCTCATTTCCCGGTTAGTAATTTAACATACCCACCTCACCCCAACCCACTCCCCATATAGAAAACAATACGACATAGGTCTTATCTTATTTATAATATAGGCCACACACGTGTGTTTGAAACTAAATATAAGCATTTTCATCATGGTTGTATTTATTACAAACACACTCTTTCACCATCTATACACATTGAGGCCCTTCTTTTAGGTTAAAATGATCTATCTTAAATTTGTCTTTCTTGAGTTTGGGACTATTATGTGTTTAAATAACTAAAAAGGATAAAACTAAAAAAAAGCCCTAAAAAAATGCGCGGCAAGCGCGCAAAATATTTTTGTGTTTTTAATTCTAATTTCGTCGGAATTGATGAAAACTATCTAAAATGTGCAATTTATAGAGGAAATTGTCCTACCGTAACAAGAAATGCGCGCAAAGAATTTGAGAATTTTAGGCACTTTCAGAGGATGAAAAGGGCATTTATCAAGGGGTGAATGCGCGCAAAATATTTTTGTGTTTTTAATTCTAATTTCGTTGGAATTGATCAAAACTCCCTAAAATGTGCAATTTTTAGAGGAAATTTGGCCATGTTAACAAGAAATGCGCGCGAAATTTGAGGTTTTTAGGCACTTTCAGGGGATGAAAGAGCATTTATAAAGGGGGGGGGGTGTGGGGAAGATTTTTCAAAGATAGATATTTTCTCCTTGTCCCCCCAGCGGTTACGCCATCAGGCAGCATAGATCAAAGGAGTTATGACAGTTTTTGAAGTGGAGAAGGAGTTGCATGGGTGTTGTGAGTCTGGTCATTATGATATCTTCCTTTTTATTCTTGTCTTAAGTTACTTTTCTCTTCTATTTTTCTTTCCTTTTCTTTTCCTCTTCTTTCTCTTTCCCTTCCTCTCCCCTCTTTCTTTTCTGTTATTACCCAGCCCGGTACGACGGCTTGGTCGGCCCGGTAAAAACCGTCAGGGGAGGGGCAGTTTTCCCCCTGCCCCCCCCCCCGCGCCTGTTACGACACTGGCTAACACGCCAATCATCCCCACCAATGAAAAATATTTTTCTACGCCACTGTATATATTTGGTATTTGTAAATCATATGATTGACTAATACCAACTATTTTTTTTGCAAAACACAATTTTTGCAACAACAATAGCCTACCGTATATAACTGAGATTAAAAAGTGAGTGGATTCAGTATCATTATAACAATAACTAATTTACCATAGGCCTAATATTATTAGGCCTATGGTAAATTAGTTATTATCATAATGATACTGAATCCACTCACTTTTGATTATTATACCGAATATACAAAACTGCACCAAACACCTAAGATTTTGTTATTTTTTTCCATTTTGTTGGGGTGGCCTTGAATTACCAACAATGGTGGCGCCAGGATTTGCTCGAGGAGGGAGATTTTCAGTGGGCATGGTGTTAATTTTCATTTATTTATTTATTTTATTTAAAACATTTATACAGGATACAATTTCAGAAAATCCGTTTGCAAATACAGTAATACAAAATACCAATCAATTACAAATTACAAAGAGAATGAATATGGACAATCCCGTCCTAAAACAATTAAAGTATGACACATTTAACATCAAACCATTTTATCCTAAGTTACAAGTTGGTAAATTAGAACTTCTTATAATTGAATTTAAAACTGTTTATATATTTGTTCACTGTTGAATAAGAGGGGATAACATTACTCCTCACTCTAGCACCAACAATTCTAAAAGAATGTTCCATGAATCTATAGTTTGTAATTGGTAGGACAACCTTTGAAGTATTTGAATTAAGAATATGTAGTAGAGTATGCATGTCGATCAAATGTCATTCTAAGCTTTTATGTCTTATATCTTTCCTCGAATAACTGCCAATCAAATGTATTAATTTAGGACACCGATCAATACAGTGAGTTTTAATTTCCAACACTAGTTGTGACCAATCTAGTAATTTGATAGAGTAAATTGCATAGCGACTTTATAATTTTTTAATGTGTGTATGTGTACATAATATCTCGTGGTAGGGAAGCGAATTTGATTAATAAAACAGAAGCGTTCGGAAATTGCTTGTCTATCAAGGTCAATCGTTGGAATAAACTAGCTTTGATGTGTTTTTCTACGAAATATAGCCTAGATTTGTGAACGGCTTTGTTCAAACGAAGAGTAATCTTTTCATATTTCCTTAATAAAGAAACTGGTAATCTTCTTGAACTGAAATCCTTGATAATAGAACGCATCATGGTAATGCGTTGGACTCTCTCTCTCTCTCTCTCCATAACAAGAAATGACCCGACGTTCTCGTCTGCCTTACTTCTTTCGATCAGGATGAAGACGAATGACGAAAAACTGTCGCATTTCAACCATTATTAAACATTATCAATGTTACCAATATTTTCATCAACAACATCAGTCATTATCATACTACAATAAGAATAACAATAGAAATAATAATATAATAGTAAAACTATATAGGCCTAATAGTGCTGCTATCATCATCATCACCACCCACTCTACCATCACCACTTATCACCCTCACCATCGTATTGAAGTATCATCATCATAATTATTATTATCATCATCATATTCATCATGACAAAACAATAATTCATTATTGCTAATATATACACATAGGCTACTCCTTTTCCTCTAAATGTAAGATGACTTTCTTTTCAGTGATATCGCCGTTTTTATTATTCTATTGTTTAATACTCAAGTAAATATTACACTATTTGATTATGAAAAAACTTCAATTTAGGTCATATTTCGTTAGTACTTCTATCATTAACTTCCTTACTGTAGTAAATACCGCAATAGTTTTATTGCGGTATTTATTGACAAAGGGTTATTTTATGTTGAGCCACACTATTTTAAATTCATGACTGATGAGCAGTTAGGAGGACACTTATGGGATACCGTGCTATATAGGCTACCACAAGAGCATTGCGGCTAGTCTAGACCTCGTGAAGCCTCCGTCGACATCACTTGAAGCGCAAGACAATCTATGTTTTGTGTCGTTTGAATTTCAATAATTTTTTGATTGTCATTCTTTCTAAAGTACCAATACGATTATAATATTATATCCTTTATTTGCTGTTGTCGACTTTATGTGATCTACAAAATAATTAGACGACCGGCAAAATTTAGCGAGAAGTCATGTAATATCTAAAACGTCTAAAATGTTTTAAAGTTGTTCATTCTATTAATATGACCGTCATAAACTATCACATTCATTTTTATACTTCATCGGGCATTTTTTACTTTCTAGGCTTATATCAGGGAACAGTGATTTCACTGCTGCCTGCTCATATGAATGTGATAATACCATGGCCAATGAGATAATCGCCCCAATTGAGCATGAAAGCCTGACCCGTGATTACTAACATCAAAGAGAATACCTATGTAAATGCTGGAAAATAAGCTAGAATAAGTATTGATATTCAATTTGGGTGAATTAATCAAGTTTTGTTAAACAATTGTTTTGAACTTTTTTTTATTTTTGGGTGGGTTGGAGTACAGTGTGCATTTGTATAATGTTTTCTTATCGACAAAATACTTTTTTTTTTTTTAATTTATCTGTATTTTTGTCTATAGTCGGGAGCCGCTGGATTAGTACAACCTGGTTTTGGTTGAAATGTGCAATAAATTCGGCGGGAAACTCATCTCATGTACGTACCGGTGTCGCTGGTTTTTCTGAGAAGAATGCTTAGACAGGCTACATCGATGTCGCATTATCGTCACGTCATTCATAGACTTCGGCTAAATGATTGCAAATTTCATACCTCGGTTCTGTGGTTTGTGTAAACGCATTTTGACAATATTTATTTGTATTATACAATATTTATATGTAAATTAAATGTTACTGTTGTTAGTATTTTGAGCATACGTGTGGGTATTAACGGTCTTCTTGACACCAAGCTCAATATACGTAAGTAACGTGTCAGTCAGTTGTACTTTAATAATAGGCCTATTAACAACAAATACAACAATAACAAAAACAATATAATAACGAAGACGACGTCACTACGATGGCGGTGAAGTTGGGGCGACGATGGCAACTGTGACGACAACGAAGATGTTAGGTAAAACATTTTGTAGTACACTTTATAATTTAATACAATATTTAATCTTACTATATGAGATATTTTGTATTTAACTACCCTCTAAAGATTGTTGAACAAACAATAAACAAATACAAAATATCAGGCAGATAGTAGGCCTCAGATTGATTCAAAACATATCTACTAAATCATTAAAAAGGAACATTGCCAAGTAATCTTACCAAGATTACATACAATGAGAATATCGAAGTTGGACGTCGCACATTCTAGTGTAGACCGATTTCTTAATCAATTCAACTAGGCTATAATTTACATTTCAATGTGATGCCGATGGCACTTAGTGCTTCGATGCTTAACTTCTATTTTGAATTATGTCTTTATGTAAGTCAATTTAATGCTTTTAACACTTGTTATGAGGATTGTGCGTTAAAATTATTATTATTATTATTATTATTATTATTATTATTATTATTATTATTATTATTATTATTATTATTATTATTATTATTATGTTGTAATGATGTTGTTTGTACTGTTTTTTAATTTTATTAAAGAGGGCCCCTGAATATCAGTTAACCTCCTACTGGGCTAAACTGGAAGGGTTACCCTCTTTAAAGATGGTTGAAATAAAAAATTAAAAAATCAACTTACAAAAAACACTATAGCCTTAGCAAAGTAATTCTAGAATACAAGTTCGGTGTCATATTGAGACAATCATCCATATCCCAATCTCTACGGTGCTTTGTTTTTTTAATAAATGCAGTGCAACATTAAAATTATTATACATGTGATTCATAGGTGAATTTATATTGTTTTATGCAGGTCAACTTAAATATATACTGTAATCCAATAATTAGAATACATTTTTCAATTAAAAAGACTATTTTCATTCATTTACAGACGTTTCACTATTTAAATTCAAACGCAGAGTTTATATTATTATAGAATACAAGCTCGGTGTCATATTGAGACAATCATCCATATCTCAATCTCTACGGTACTTTGTTTTAATAATACTTCAGTGCAACATTAAAATTATTATATATGTGATTCATAAGTGAATTTATATTGTTTTATGCAGGTCAACTTAAATATATACTGTAATCCAATAATTAGAATAAATTTCTCAATTAAAAAGACTATTTTCATTCATTTACAGACGTTTCACTAATTAAATTCAAACGCAGAGTATATATAAGTTCGGTGTCATATTGAGACAATCATCCATATCTCAATCTCTACGGTGCTTTGTTTTAATAATAAATGCAGTGCAACATTAAAATTATTATACATGTGATTGATAAGTAAACTTATATTGTTTTTATGCAGGTCAACTTAAATATATACTGTAATCCAATAATTAGAATAAATTTCTCAATTAAAAAGACAATTTTCATTAATTTACAGACGTTTCACGATTTAAATTCAAACGCCCGTTAATTGTAGAAAATTTTTTTTTTCAAATTTTCACAGGTAATAACTTGAAATATACAAATTAAGCAATTCATTCTTAAAATTTTCTGTAGGTAGGAATAAGTTTACGTAAAGATGACTGTAGGCCTACGTGCCAATATTCATTGAGATATGTAATAATTTGATCTTGGTTTCGTATATAATACCACAGAGATTGGTTATAATTGTTAGGACGTTGTTTGTTGCCATTATACCTTTGTAGTCAGTGAGACTTTCCAATCGTTTGGAACCATCCATTCATTAATGATTTGTTTATAATGGAACACAGAGATATCACGATATAGCGTGATGCAAGACTTAATATCTTAGTATCGAAATAAATGGAGTATACACCCCATTTAGAGGTTGAAAAAGTGTTAACAAATAACTGACAAAAATTTTAAGTACTAAATCATGGCTCAGGTGGATTGTAATTTTCGTAGATTTTTTTTTGTAATAAAGTGCCATTTTCGGCATTTAGAAGTCTCAATTCTTATGATTGTCTTACCTCAACCATGTGGGCTGAGATGGATGGTAGTTTCATAACGTTTAAAGTGCCGTTTTTGGGCATCTATATGCCTATAAAAGTCTCAAATTCTTAAAAAGTACTCATCTACCCACTAACACTATGGTGGTGCTCAGTTGGATATCGTAGATATTTTACTATTCATTTGCATTTTTTGGGCATCTATAAGCTTAAAATTACAAATTTTAAAAAAAATCTAAAAATTTTTTGTCAAAATAGTATTTTTAAAAATCGGGGAGACCACTGCTCCTCTAACCCATCGATGGTACAATTCTTAGATGACATGCAGTCAATTTGCGTCAAGGGCCCCGACTATGCTCTTGAATCAGGGCCCCTCACAACCTAGTTACGCCACTGCGTCCCCTGTGTTTCCAAATGACGTCCGAAACGAGTTGCCAAGTTTGTTAACGACGTTGTCACCAAATCAACTTTAGGCGACTGTCGACGAGTGTGTGCCTTTGTATCTGAGTCCGCTTTTACTGATCCGGATGAAACCTTGCAAGTGATTAATTCAAATGTTTCTTTGAACTCTTTTCTCATTTCTTTACTTCTTCCTGCATAAATTAACGGATTTATCATTGAGTTAGCATAGAGGAATAAAGCTGAAAACCACCTATAAATCATAATCCCGGTGGAACTATTAAAGTGTGCCAAGACTGTGCCTTTGAGAGCATTTGGTGCAATACATAGTGTGTAAGAAATAAGCACTATGGCTGTGGTTTTTGTCACTTTCATTTCTCGTCTTCTAATTTTCTTTCCCTGGCGTAATGCATTCTCTTTTCCTTTCTTTGACGCAATTAAGTAAATATACGCATACACCATAAACATGATCAGCACTGTCAAGCCAGAAGAAGGGAGGAACAAGTATTTGATAACAGGTTCGCCGTAAATTCCTACTGCAGAAACCCAGCAGTCGTATTCATACGTCATGTTTTCATACGTAACATTAGGTGGTGGCAAAAAGGTGTTTGCAAAGGAAACAAAAAAAAATGCACTTCCTCCGTAACAAACACCACAAACATCAACGATAATAATAATTCGAATTGCTCTTTCAGGTGACATCCAAACGCGGTACCGAAGAGGGTATTTAATGGCAAGAAATCGATCAAAAATCATCACAATCATATTCAGCAATGAAGTAGCGATAAATATACGGGGTGGCAGACTGTACCATATTTCTTCACACTGTCCCACTTGTACATATTGAGCCATCAGGAAAGGAAATCCAATAATGCCGGTTAAGAAATCGAAGAGTGCTAAGGATGATATAAATATATTATTCGGAGTTTGTAATAACGAACGTTTAAGATACACAGTGAGCATAACAATGAAGTTTCCAATTATTGTTATCAGCATTAGAGGAAACCAGATCAAAATAAATAACACTAGAGAATGATTTCTTGTCATAATGCAGAAGCTTATATTAAAAAAGGTAAATACAGTCAAATACAGCTTCGACAACACAACAGTCTGTAAATTAATACGTATAGCCTATCTACAGTGTTACGTCACGATACCGCAAGATCGACTCCGTTGCTATAGTTGCAAAATGCGTTCAACCCGACGCCATTTTACCCACTAACAAACCATTGATCCCAATTTCTAACGTAATTATTAAATTGCTGTATCTCACTTTTTCTTTGTAAATTTTAATTGATGATTAAATGTGTGTTCGATAACTAATATAATGCGAGCTTTTGTGCTTTTAGTACATTTTTGATGGTAAAATATTAGATTTTAAAATGCCTATTCCAGAAAGCCTACGGCAGTCATTCAGGCGTATTGGACGGTAACCTACGTCTGCTGACAACGGAGAGCGCCACCTGGCGTCATGACCACCCGATGTACTTTATAATTCATTTGTATGGAACGCCAAAAGGACAAAGTACAGCAGTGCAAAACACAGTCAGCAGCAGTTCAAAACCTATATTATAGTCAGCAGTGCGCAAAACTCAGACTCAGCAGTGCGCAAAAATCAGTCTCAGCAGTGCAAAACACAGAGTCAGCAGTGCAAAACACATACAGTAGTCAGCAGTGCAAAACTCAGAGTCAGCGGTGCAAAACAGAGTCAGCAGTGCCTGAGATTGCAGGCAGTGCAAAACTCAAGCGGCAGTGCAAAATTCAAGTGGCAGTGCAGAAATCAAAACGCCCTCTATTTTGAATGAAATTTCAGAGCTTTTTTGGCCGCGTGCTTACGGACGGTGTCAACTGTATTTGAGAATGGATGAAATGTTGCGATCACTTGGGCACTCCCAATTGAACATTGACAATTTTTTTATGTCCGCATAAACCTCAATAATAACATGATAGACTAATTTAATTTATTTAGATGTAAACACAGGAGAAATAACAGTCAGAGATATGATATTGACTTCAACGACGAGTTATTTATTTCGAATAGGAACTAGGAAATTATACCAAACTATATCTTAACCCCCAACTTGACCGGGCAATAGATGCCAGCAAACATCAAGCTTGCACAAGCTTCATGCTAGGATGCAACTCTGTATCTTATCTGCGTTTAGCCCTGCCTATAGCAAGTCCTTGCCAATACTGGCAATACAGTACTCTGATTTGACAAACTTAGCTTCTCAAAACTTTACACAATGTTGACCCATTGACTTCTAGCTTTGTTGTGCCACAGTGCCACAAACTTTCCTTAATTAGACGCACTAATCCTCATAACAAAGAACCTGCGGAATCACACTCCGCGCTAAGATACGATTAACTTGATTGTATTCTTATTGAAATAGTAGTAACTCTCATATAATCAGGTCAAATATAATACAAATACAAAACACTTGTATAAACCATTGTTAAATAATATTATATAATAAAAAAAGTATAAATTATGATTATGAACTACTTATTACTGTGTAGCAACACAGGGCTACACTAAAATCTACCAAAGCATCTATGAAATCATTATGTAATGTTACATAACTGTTATAGATAAACATAGTTCCACATGAATTAACCATTAATTTATATAGGAATTGCATCGGTATAATGAACAAGGAAGTAAATAAAAATTTAACATGTAGCATAACATATAAGGAGACGGGTAAAACCCGTACCTTACATAGATAAGTAATTTAACAAATATTTTCATTGATAATGCATTTAATCAATTTTATAATAAAAATCTTATCTAATTTATAAATACTTATTAGAATATAATTGATTTAATAAGTTTTTCATTAACGATTACATAACTAATTAATAAATAATTATATAATACTGTAATATAATACAATAATATATTTAATAAATAATTAATCTAATGAATAATTTTACTGATTAGTTATTAAATAGAATAACTTTTAAAAATAATTTTAATTAGTCTATCATGTTATTATTGAGGTTTATGCGGACAACAAATTGTCAATGTTCACTTGGGAGTGCCCAATCGGTGATCAGTTACGCCAAAGATACTAGAAATACAAGATAGAGCACTCGCATTGTAAAAATGAAATCGTTCCCAACGTAGGCGGCGCCCTTCTTTTTAACCACGCAAGTTTTCTATACTTCGTGCCCAACGTACAGGGCGCCCTTCTGTTGCTAAGTACAGAGCCATATATCTGTCTCTTATACACATCTAGATGTGTATAAGAGACAGTTATAATTCATTTGTATGGAACGCC